CAATAGAAAAATAAGCAAAAAAAAATCAATAGCCAATTCACAAAAAAAGATAATCAAATGACCAATAAATGCGTTGCTGTCAAGTCGATTCCGACTCACAGTGAACCTACAGGAGAATGTAGAACTGCCCAGCCTTTTGGTTAGCAGATGAGCTCTTAACCACTGTGTCACCAGGGCTCCAGAAAATAGACATATTAAAAAGTGTTCCAATTCAGTTTATATCAAAAAATACAAATAAAAACCACAAAAAGATAATATTACACACCCACCAGCATGGCTAAAATTTAAAAGACTAACAATCCAAGTCTTGCTGAGGATGTGGAGCAACTAAACTCTCTCATGCTACAAATGGCAGTGTATATTGGTATAAACCCTTTGGAATGCTGTTGGACAGTTCTTATTAAAATATTTCCCATGAGTCGGCATTTCCATTCCTAGATACATAGTCTAGAGAATTGCATATATATGCTTAACAAAAGCTATTTACAAGACTATTTGCAGCAGCCTTATTAATAATAGTTCAAAACTAGAAACATATTAAAAGTCAATCTGCATTATAATGGATTAAAATATTTTGTATATTTAATGTCAGTTTGTCCTTCTGTGGTGGCTTGCATCTTGCTGCGATGATGGAAGCTATGTCACCAGTATTTCAAATACTAGCAGGGTCCCCCATGGTAGGCAGGTTTCAGCAGAGCTTCCAGACTAAGACAGACTAGGAAGAAGGACCTGGCAATCTACTCCTAAAAAAATATGGCCAGTGAAAATCTTATGAATAGCAGCAGAACAGTATCTGATATAGTGCCAGAAGATAAGCCCCTCAGGTTTGAAGGCACTCAAAATACGACTGCAGGAAAGGTGCCTACTCACAGTAGAGTCAATCTTAATGATGTAAATAGAGTAAAGCTTTCGGGACCTTCATTAGTTGATGTAGCATGGCTCAAAATGAAAAGAAGTAGCTGTATACATCCATTAATAATAGAATATATATGGAATATACAAACTATAAATCTAGGAAAATGTCAAGTCATCAAAAATAAAATGCAAGGCATAAAGATGGATATCCTAGGCATTAGTGAGCTGAAATGGACTGGTATTGGCCGTTCTGAATCTGAAAATCATATGGTCTATTATGCTAGGAATGGCAAGTTGAAGAGGTATGGCATCACATTCATAGTCAAGAAGAACATTTCAATATCTATCCTGAAGTACAACCTTGTCATTGATAGAATAATATCCATATATCTACAAGAAAGATCAGTTAATATGACTATTATTCAAATTTATGCACAAACCACTAATGCCAGACGAGGAAATTCAAGATTTTTACCAACTTTTGCAGTCTAAAATTGATCAGACATGCAATCGAGATGCATCGATAATTACTGGTGATTGGAATGGAAAAGTCGGAAACAAAGAAGGACCAGTAAATGGTAAATATGGCCTGAGCGACAGAAACTACAGAAACTATGCTGGAGATTCATAAGGAGAAGGGGCTGAGTCTTCAGCTAGGGTTGTCATGTGAATTTGCCAGTGTCCGATGGGAAAGTGTTGAAGCTACAAACCCAACAGCTCTATAACATCTGAGATTGGTTGAGATCAGATGGATAAGTGCTGAATCAGATAGACCAGAATTTAAGTCTGGGATTTTCTATTTACCAGCTGTATAATTTGGGAAAAATTACTTCATCCCTTTATAGTTCAGTTTCCTTATTCAAAAAATAGGGTTTATCTTATGAAATAGTAAAAATCCAATTAGATAAGACAAGTAAAGCACTTAGTACAGCACCTGGAAATATGTTAACACTCAATACATATTTGTTAACTCTCCTTTCTATTGTTCTTGTTGCTATCATAGAGATGTTTTGTAACTTACCCATAGCTAGAATATGACACAGGCAGATGCCAAAGTCTGTCTTACCCCGGAGTCTGAACTCTTGAGCACTAAGTTATTCTGCCTCTTGTAATAGAAAAAAAATTCAAGAGAACTAAAGTAAATTGTAAAACCATTAGGCATCTACTGTGTCTTTCTGGAATGCCAGGTATCTTGACTACTATTTCCTCTAAGTCTATTCCTACTTTCTTAGTTTCTGTTCCTCTATTACAAAGATTTACACAAGGATCTAGTGGCCAGAATGCTGCCTCTTTTTCCAACTCGACAGGAATTTTTATCATCAAAGCCAAACACCAACTAGCTAGACCCTGTATATCACTAATTCCAAGTTCTGAAAAGACAATCTGACTAGCTAAAGTTGACTCTATGGTTTAATCAGTAATGGCCAGAGGGTCACGGTCATATCTCCATGCCACCCATCATCTTGCTCACTCTTCTCCAGCCACACTGGCCTTAGGACCTTCACATATGCTGGAAAGTTTTTATCCCTCCTCTTCTTACTTCTACTCTTGACATAGTTAATTACTGCTTTAGGTCCTACCTTACATTTAACTTCCTTGAAGACGCTTTCCCTGAACACTAATATAAATTAGGCCCTCCAATTATAATTTCTCAGTGGTACTTCCATGCCTTTCCTTTTTAAATACTAATCAGTGTTCATGTTTAATTGCTTTATTGTTTATTGCGAGTCTCGTAATTAGCCTTTAAGCTCCGTAAAGGCAAGGGGCAGTGCCTGTTTCAATAAACCTTAAATAACAGGAACTCCTGGCATAGAGTAGGCAACCAGTAAATATTTTAAAAGATGAATAATTATAAACATGGCTCCATACAATCACTGTGGCAGCATTCCAAAGAATGGGTCTATTCCACATAGTTACATTCTCAAAGCAGTTGACAAACATCTGCAGTGACTACCCATGAGAAAAATTAAGGTCTGCCCACCTCAGGAGGTGGCTTTGCATAATGAACCAACTGCCACGTTTGGTAGAAGAGAGACCTTAGTTTGAATGCTGTTTTGGTCACTTATTAGTATTACTACTACCTGTTGCTGTCGAGTCAATTCCAACTTATAGTGATCCTATACGACAGAGTAGAACTGCCCCATTGGGTTTCCCAGGAATGGCTGGTGGATTTGAACTGCTGACCTTTTGGCTAGCAGCCAGGCTCTTAACCACTGCACCACCAGTGCTCCTGTTCACTTATTAGCTGTGTGATTTTAGGCTGGCCAGTTAACTTCTCTGTTTCGTGATCTGAAAATGTAAGGTAGTGACACATAGTCCATAGGTTGTGTGAATTAAGTGATGTAACTCATTAGCACGCAGTAAACACCTCATAAATGCTTTTTATACCTACAATCTTGTCCCTGAAGCCTTTGCCTTTTCCATTCTCTCCCTTTCTGAGAATAACTCAGTCATCCAAATCTCTGGCACTCCTCCTCTCGGTCTTCTAATGTTTCCAGGATGTTCCAAACATTCTACCCTTTCAGAAATAATCTAGATACCATGTCTCAGATATTTTTAGCCATATAATCTTTAAAAGGAGCCTCTTGATAGAGGGAATCACCTTAATTCCTTCCCCTTTATTTCAGAGACTTTTAATACTTGTACCCTAAGGGTGCAGCTGGTAGAGTGAAAAGCCTTTTACTCTAGAGCCAAGATCCATCACTTACGTTCCTTGGGCAAGTTACTAAACTCTCTATAGCCCAAATCCCTTCACTTCACTTTATCTCCACAGCTACCACCCAGGGGTCCTGAAGGTGTTTCCTTACTAGCTTCCCTGCTTGCACTCTTGTCCCTACAGGCCTTCTCTACATAGTAGCAGAGTGGTCTTTCCATATCATAGTCAGGTCATGGCAGTCTGCTGCTTAACCACCCTTTCACCCATGCAGGCCTCTGGTTGCACTGAAAATAAATCTAATTTCCCTAATCTGCTCTCCTTGGACATATATGACCTGCTCCTGACTACCTCTTCAATCTGTTCTCTTACCTTCTCCTTTATTCACCATACCTGAGCCACATTTTGCCTTCTTTCTGCTCCTCTAAATGCATGCACTCATCCTCATGGTTGTACTTGCTGTTCCCTGCATCTGAAATACTCTTCCACCCAGTTCTTTATCTGGATGGCTTCTTCTGATTCATTTCTCCATAGTGAGTTCTTTGCTGACTGTTCAATTTAAAGTAACCCTCTAGTCACTGCTACATTTTGTTTTTGTTTTAGCACCTGTCTTCTTGTTTATTTAAGTGTTTATATTTTGCATGTGTCCTCTGACTAGAATATTAACTCCATAAGGGCAGGATCTTTGCTATACTCTTCACCATTCTTTCTCTAGTGCCTAGAACAGGAACTAACACGCAATAAGTACTCAATAAATGTTTGCGGAGTGAATAAATGAATTAGTTCTGGGAGCCTTAGCAGAAGGCAGCCTTGGTGGTGAAATGGTTAAGCGCTCAGCTGCTAAGAAAGGACTGGCAGTTGGAGCATACTCAATAGGAGAAAGACCTGGTGATCTGCTCCCATAAAAATTACAACCTAGAAAACGCCATGGGGCAGTTGTACTCTGTCACATGGCGTTTCTAAGAGTTGAAAATCGACTTGATGGCACCTAACAATAATAACAACAACAAGCCTTAGTAGTAGAGGCAGAGTAGTAGATAGGTTAAGGTCACAGACTTTAAAGTCAGAATTTCCAAGATTTAAACTTAACCTCTATCTCTTTCTAGGCAATGCAGTTCCTTCATCAATAAAATGGACATAACAATAACTACTTCATAGCGCTCTTTAAGATTTCAAGGAGATAATGTACAGCTATTAACATTCTGGGGGCCCTGGTGGCACAGTGGCTAAGCCTTCGGCTGCTAACCAAAAGGTTGGCAGTTCAAATACACAAGCCGCTCCTGGGAAATCCTATGGGGCAGTTCTACTCTGGCCTATAGGGTTGCTGTGAGTCGAATCGAACAGACAGCAATGGGTTTGGGTTTTTTAAATTATTATTATTATTAATATTCTGAGGCCATCTTTATTTTATGCCTTGGCTTTCACTGAGACAATATCAGGGCAAGGAAAGTTTTTTAAAGTGTCACCCTTCATTTTATTCCTTAGTTCCAGTGACATGAAACCAGAAAACCACACCAGTGTCTCTGAATTCCTCCTCCTGGGCCTCTCTGAGCAACAGGAGCAGCAGCCTTTCCTCTTTGGCATCTTTCTGGGCATGTACCTGGTCGCTGTAGTGGGAAACTTGCTCATCATCCTGGCCATTGGCAGTGATCTGCACCTCCACACCCCCATGTACTTCTTCCTGGCCAACTTCTCCCTCACTGACCTGTGTTTATCATCTACAACCATTCCCAGGATGCTGGTGAACATTCAGGCTCACAGCAGCACTATCCCCTATGCTGGATGCCTGTCTCAGGTCTACTTCTTCCTGTGGTTCGTTGGTCTAGACGTTTTTCTCCTGGCAGTGATGGCTTATGACCAGCTTGTGGCTATCTGCCACCCCCTTAACTACACCTTGGTCATGAGTCCCAGGTGCTGCATCCTGCTGATGGCTGTCCCTAGTACTTGCTCATTCATACTCTCTAACCCACATCATTCTCCTGACTCAGTTATCCTTCTGTGCTAACAACATCATACCCCACTTCTTTTGTGAACTTCTCCCCCTGTTGAAGCTTTCTTGCTCCAATACTTATGCTAACCAATGTGTGCTGATGTGCTAGGGAGGGGCATTAACCATCTTGATCCCCCTGCTAATCATCATTTCTTACATCCTCTTCATGGCTGCCATTGTGAGGGTCCCATCAGCAAGTGGGAAGTGGAAGGCTTTCTCCACCTGTGGCTCCCACCTGTCAGCAGTTTGTTTGTTCAATATGTCTGCTATTGGGGTGTACTTCATTCCCTCCACTGCTGACTCAGCTGACAAGGACAGGATTGTAGCAGTGATGTATGCTGTGGTGACACCCATGCTGAACCCATTCATCTATAGCCTGAGAAACAAAGACATGAAGGGTGCCTTGGGGAGACTCTTGAGCAGGAGGGTACTTCAATCTTCATGAAGCGGAAGATACTATTTTAGGAATTCAGGGGAAATCAACTTGCTGAGTTATCTTAGTGATCAAGTTCAAATCCTGGTTCCACCACTTGCTAGCTTTGTGACCTAGGGTGACTTAAATAACTTCACTGAGCCTCAATTTTCTAACTTATAAAAGAGGATAATAAAATAAACTCTATCACGCAGTATTTTGGTGAAGGTCAGAAAAAAATATATATGTATATATATATATATATACATGGTTGTTGTTGGGTTCTGTTGAGTGGATTCTGACTCATAGTAACTCAATGTGACAGAGTAGAATTGCCCCATAGGGTTTTCTAGGCTGTAATCTTTACTGGAGCAGATCGCCAGGTCTTTCCCCACTGGAGCCAGTGGGTGGGTTTGAATCACCATCCTTTTGGTTAGCAGCTGAGTGCTTTAACTGTTACATCACCAGGGCGCAGTATATATAACCAAATAAAAACCAAACCCGTTGCCGTCGAGTCGATTCTCACTCATAATGACCCTATAGGACAGAGTAGAACTGCCCCCACATGGTTTCTAAGGAGTGCCTGGTAGATTTGAACTGCCAACCTTTTGGTTAGCAGCCAAACTCTTAACCACTATGCCACCAGGGTTTCCATGTATATACGTGTTGTGTGTATAATATATATATGTATATATGTATATTTGTTGTTGTTAGGTGCCATCGAGTCAGTTCCGACTCATAGTGACTCTACGTACAACAGAACAAGACACTGCCCGGTCCTGCGCCATCCTCACAATTGTTGTTATGCTTAAGCCCACTGTGTCAATCCATCTCGTTGAGGGTCTTCCTCTTTATCACTGACCCTCTACTTTATCAAGCATGATGCATGATTTCCTTCTCCAGGGACGGATCCCTCCTGATAACATGTCCAAAGTGATGACATGTCCAAAGTATGTGTCTTAGTCATCTAGTGCTGCCATAACAGAAATACCACAAGTGGATGGTTTTAACGAAGTGAAGTTTATTTCTTCACAATCAAAGTAGGCTGTCAGCTCCAGGGGAAGGCTTTTTCTCTCTGTTGGCCTTCTCTTCAGTGTTCCCCCGGACTAGGAGCTTCTCAGCTCAGGGACCAAAGGACACGCTCTGCTCCTCGCGCTGCTTTCTTGATGGTATGAGGTCCCCCTGTCTCACTGCTCACTTCTGTCTTTTATATCTCAAGAGATTGCCTCAGGACACAATCCAGTCTTGTACATCAGGTCCTGCCTTACTAACACAACTGCCACCTATCCTCCCTCATTAACATCATAGAGGCAGGTTTACAACACACAGGAAAATCACGCAGTACCAGGAATCATGGCCTAGCCAAATTGATACACACATTTTTGGGGGGACATAATTCAAACCATGACAGTATGTGAGACATATATATGACACACACACACACACACACACACACATATACCTGATTTTATTGTTCTAGGTCCTGTGCTTAGATCGTCATTATGTTCAACATATTCTTCTGAGGTGAATATTTTTATCATTTTACTGTATATTTGAGAAACAGAGGCTCAGAGAAATTAAATTACTTGCCTAAAATTGCACCGCTAATAAGTAGCAGAGGCAGAATCTGAACCCAGTTACCTGACTTCAAAGTGCAGATTCTTAATTATTACACTGTGTCTAAATGGACATCCAGTCCGCATACTCCTCTATGTTATTAGTTTTCTCTCTTTCCTTGCATCCCTCACACTGTTCACATACACAGTTCCAAGGACAACCTCTCAATACTAACAAATGATTTGAAGATGGGGCAAGGCAAATAAGAAGCTAGAGGATGGAAGTGTAAAAGCTCTCAAAGATCCTCATACCTCCTCAAGGAAGCACATACTCTGGTTGAGCATGAGTCTCTAGTCAGACATTCTGAAATGATTTAAGAATCAGATCACAAGATCAGAGAGAGGGTATTTGCATTATTTTTGAACTCTCATTGAGTTTCTTTTACCGAACCATGCTTCAGGACTACGCCAACCGTCTATGTTTAGATTTCTTTTAAAATATAACTGTATCAATTTCATTGCTGCATCTCCTCTAAATGGAAAAACTAAACCTGTTGCCAACAAGTCAATTCGCAGACATGAGTGAATTTAAAGACCCACAACCCCTTGAATGAAGGAGAGGCTGGGTCCCTTTGAGGAAGGACCTCACTACATTGTCAAAGATTTATACTGTTAATCTTTCTCCTAGCCTGCCCCAAAGGGATCTATGGCCTTTTATGAGAGTAACTGTTCAGTGAGGAAAAGGAAATAATCATCAGACTTTTCAGGGATTACTGGATACTGGCTCTGAACTGACACTAATTCCTGGAGACTCAAAATGTCACTGTGGTCCACCAGTGAGAGTGGGGACATATAGAGGTGAGGTTATTAATGGAGTCTTAGCTCATGTCCATCTCACAGCATGTCCAGTGGTTCCCTGAATCCATCCTGTAGTGATTTTCCCGGTTTCAGAATGCATAATTAGAATAGATATACTCAACAACTGGAAGAACCCCCATACTGGATCACTGACAAGTGAAGTAAGGGCTATTATGGTAGGAAAAGACAAGTGTAAACCATTAGAACTGCCCCTACCCAGGAAAATATAAAACCAAAAGCAACACTGTATTCCTGGAAGGATTGCAGAGATTACTGCCACCATCAAGGAGTTGAAGGATGCAGTGGTTATTCTCACCATATCCCCATTAAACTCACTTATTTGGCCTGTGCAAAAGACAGATGAATCTTAGGTAAAGAGAGTGGGTTATTGAAAACTTAACCAGGTAGTGACACCAGTTGCAGCTGCTGTTACAGATGTAGTTTCACTGCTTGAGCAAATTAATACATCTTCTGGTACCTAGTATGCAGAAGTTGATCTGGCTAATGCATTTTTCTCCATACCTGTTTTGAAGGACCACCAGAAGAAGTTTGCCCTCAGCTAGCAAGGCCAACAATACACTTTCAGTGTCCTATCTTAGAGCTATATCAACTCTCCAGCAGTATGTCACAATTTAGTCCACAGGGAACTTGGTTGCCTTTCTCTTCCACAAGATGTCACATGGTCCATTACGTTTATGACATTATGCTGATTTTAGACCTAATAAGGAAGAAGGGTCAATGACTCTGGACTTATTGGTAAAACACTTGCATGGTAGAGGATGGGAAATCAATCTGACAAAAATTCAGGCACATTTCACCTCAGTGAAATATCTAGGGGTTCAGCTGTGTAGGGCATGTTGAGATAGTCCTTCTAAAGTGAAGGATAAGTTATTGCATCTGGCCCCTACCAAGACTAAAAAGAAGGCACAATGCCCAGTGGGCATCTTTGGATTTTGGAGACAACATAACCCTCATTGGTGTGTGCTACTCCAGCCTATTTATCAAGTGACTCAAAAAGCTACTAGTTTTGAGTGCGGCCTAGAACAAGAGAAGGATCTGAAAACGGTTCAGGCTGCCACTCAAATGGCTCTGTCACTTGGGCCGTATATTTCAGCTGATCTAATGGTGCTTGAAGTGTCCATGATGGATAGAGATGCTGTTTGGAGTCTTTGGGAGGCCCCTATTGGTGAATCACAGTGCAGACCCTTAGGTTTTTGGAGTAAAGCTGTGCCATCCTCTGCAGATAACTACCCTCCTTTTGAGAAACAGCTTTTGGCCTGTTAATGGGCCTTAGTAGAGACTGAATGCTTAACCATGGGCCACCAAGTTACCATGTGGCCTGAGCTGCCCATCGTAAATTGGATGTTGTCTGACCCATGGAGCCATAAAGTTGGACATGCACAGCAGCACTCCATCATTAAATGGAAGTGGTATATATAAGATCAGGCCCAAACAGGTCCTGAAGGCACCAGTAAGTTGCATGAGGAAGTGACCCAGATATCCATGGTCTCCACTCCTGTCACATTACCTTCCATCTTCCACTCTGCACCTATGGCCTCATGTGGAGTTCCTTATGATCAATTGACTGAGGAAGAGAAAACTCGTTTACAAATGGTTCTGCATGATATCCAGGCACCATTCAAAAGTGGACAGCAGCAGCATTATAGTTCCTTGCTGGGTTCTCCTTGAAGGACAGTGATGACGGGAAATCCTCCCAGCGGGCAGAACTTTGAGCAGTGCACCTGGTTGTTCACTTTCCTTGGGAAGAAAAATGGCCAGATGTGTGATTGTATACTGATTCTGGGCTGTGGCCAATGGTTTGGCTGGACGGTCAGGGACTTGGAAGGAACATGATTGGAAAATTGGAGAAAAAGAGCTATGGGGAAGAGGTATGTGGCCAGACCTCTCTGAATAAGTCAAAGCGTGAAGATATTTGTGTCTCATGTGACTGCTCCCCAAAGGATGCTGTCTTAGTCACCTAGTGTTGCTATAACATAAATTCCACAAGTGGATGGCTTTAAAAAAGAAAAATTTATTCTCTCTCAGCCTAGAAGGCTAGAAGTCAGAACTTAGGATGTCAGCTCCAGGGGAAGGCCTTCTTTCTCTGTCAGCTCTGGAGAAAGTTCCTTGTCATCAATCTTCCCTGGTTGAGGGGCTTCTCCCCAAATCTAAAGGATGCACTATTCTCTGGGTGCTTGTTTCTTGGTAGTATGAGGTCCCTGTGTCTCTCTGCTTGCTTCTTTCTTTTATATCTCAAAAGAGATTGACTTAAGACACAACCTAATCTTATAGATGGAACCCTGCCTCATTAACATAACTGCCACTAATCCCACCTCATTAACATCATAGAGGTAGAATTTACAACACATAGGAAAATCACATCAGATGAAAAAATGGTGGACAATCATATAATTCTGGGAATCATGGCCTAGCTAAGTTGACACACATTTTTTGGGAACACAAGTCAGTCCATAACAGGAGACCTCAGTAGAGGAGGATTTTAACAATCAAGTGACTAGGATGACACGTTCTGTGGAAACAAGTCATCCTCTTTCCCCAGCCACTCCTGTCATTGCTCAATGGGCTCATGAACAATGCGGCTATAGTGGAAGGGATGGA